CTCTTATATAGAGAAATGAAAGAATTGTCATCAATTTGTCAAACATTGAAAAACAAAACGTGAAAACAGGTGTTTTTTCTGTGCTCTTGCACAACCTATAAGCATGTATGGTGGGGTTTTGTAAATTTTCCAGGCATACTTCTGTACTACAATCAAGTAACTATGTTACCTTCATTTTTCATGAAAATACTGTATATACATGTATAAATATCTATCTAAACACCTTGATTTCGCCCTCTGTTTCTCTAAGAGCCTCCTACCATTTCAGACACTCCCACTTCAGCACATCTTCAGAACAATGCTTCAGGGGAGGAGTGCTCTGTGGGGCAATAGCTCGATTGGGGACTGAGCTCCAGGAAGGTACTTTGTGTAAAAAGGTGGTGTTTTGTTTCAGCAAGTGCTTAGGCAGCTCCGTGTGGCTACCACAGGAGATTCAAGGATTTCTCAAACATGCATGAATGCAACACTCTGGGTGTGTTTTTAATGAGGGAGTGACATTATGACATCATATAAAGCTCAAAAAAGGTTTTTTTTTCATAATAACTCCCCTTTAAATCTGTGTTGCAGTTCAAAATCAGTATCTGTTTTAAAACATTTGGCTCTAAAAATGCAAAAGTTTAGGGCAAAGTTGTGCCCAGAGAGAAGCTGAAAATTTATTAGGCAGAATTTAAATGTTTGTAGAGTACTGTACATGTGAAATGTTAATTTTTAAGCTGTAAACCATGAAAAAAAATCAGCTGATAATTTTTTTTCTACGTACCGAACACTGTAGTTTTATTTATTTATTTTTTTTAGTGGTGAAAAATGCTTTGAATTTGAAACAATTATTTAAAACTTTAAGAAAAAAGAAAAATACTGCACTATACAGTTTCTATTAAGTTTTATTTGTCAGCTTTTACAGGCAATGATGAACATTAAACTGAAGAAGCATTTTGGTGAAAAGAGTGAGCTTTRGATCTGAAAAGAAAGGAAACAGAATATTGGACATTTATTGGAGAATCGTGAAAAATGAAGATACAAATTTTGTGAAAACCCAAATTAAAATGYACTTATCAGTTGATTACATTTCAGATTTTAAATCCAAGTTTCCTCAGAAGGTCCATAATTTGTTGCAGTGCTGGCGGTAGTGTTGTTGCCCCCACTGCTGTGGTTGTTGTTGCACCTGCAGCTGTAGTTGTTGTTGCACCTGCTGCTGTAGTTGTTGTTGCACTTGCTGCTTTAGTTGTTGTAGCTGTGGTTGCAGTTGACTTGAAAGAGAAATGAGTAACATTATCATCAAACAAAAAGCTCTCAGGAAATGYTCATTTGTTCATGTGTCATTTAACTGCAAAAAACTCACCTCATGAGAATCAGAGTCAGAACCAGATTTGGATCGAGCAAATTGTCTGTGCTCCATCTGTAGACAGTTTGACAATAGCAGCTTTATACGATATTATAGTGAGNTTTGTTTACTTATTTGTTTGTTGTAGGGAGTGGAGACATAAAACAGTAGACATTTTTTCATTGATCAGTATTTATTTATCAGACAGAAGATGATGATGATTGTTGTTTGACCAAACTGAGTGAGGAAGCACTCTGGTTGAAACAGCAAGCTTTAACTCTGAAAAGAAAAAAAGAGTTAAATGTTGTTATATTCTCCGGAGAATCCAATAAATATTTAGAAACAGCCTGTRTCAGAGATCTATTTACAACTCACTTACTGAGTGAGTACATATTACACTTACTTATTGTATTATCCTGTCAGAAGTGGCAGGAGTGAAGTGAGAATCATTTGCATCTGTTGTGGCGTGAGCGTGGCTGGATTAGCAAGAAGCTGCATCAGCTGTTGCTGAATTGCTGTATTTGCCAACCCCGTTGCTGGATATTTCATCTGAGTGGTGGTCAGAATCAGAAACATCATTACACAYACATTTAAGAAAACTTGTAGGAATTGTTCAGTAACTGATGTTTATGTGTGGTTTGATAAGTGAGGACATGAATAACTCACCTCACGTGAGTTGGARCCAGAGCGAGCAACACGCTGGTGCTCCACCTATGGAKAGTTTATTATGATCAGTGTTAGGTYACAACATGGTAACAATAAAAGTAGTGTTAGTTTTGCTAATGACATTAAATTTGACTTACAGGTTGAGCTATAATGAGGCTCAGGAGGCATCCAAAAATAAGAGCTACCTTCAGCATGGTTGCAGTTATTTCACCTGTTAAAACAGAAAATAGGATTTTAATCCAAGTAAATTAGGGAAAATCACAATTTGATTAAAYATGGTACCAAATACTAATATAATTTCAGTCAGTCCTCACCACTGGAGCAGAACGTCTCAGATGAACAGGGAGGTTGTTGCTGTGCTGCTCCGAATGTTGAGCGTCTCTTTTATACAGATACAGGAGCAGAGTTGTTAGGAAACTGCAAGCATTCAGTAATCTTCTGTGTCCACAAAAGTGTGTTGCATTCATTTAATTGCCCATGTGCGAAATAGTAAAGCCTATTAGATTTACTTGTTCAAACCATACATGGAGRCACTTTTAAAATACCTGGAACACACAGACATTCCTGCTCATATGTTGACAAATCAAGAGACTTAGTGGTTTTGTTTGGTTCCAGACAACATCCGCTAAAAGGTTCTACCTGTTTGAAAAACACTGCAGTGCCCGATTTGTACAAAAATAACAGCATTTTTAACATTTAAGTTGAAATAAATAATTATCATGTTCATTTTTGTAATTACTCAGAATGGTATGAAACCAGTGAAGTCTTGCAAAATGTGTTTAAGCTTTGTCTTGGTTGATTTGTTACTGTATTTGGTAATTTTAGGTCTAGATCAACATCAGCTTTAGGAGATAATCTCTGACTGTCTGAGTTTTGCACCATTTGTATGAACTAATTAAATACAAGGTGYACCAATTCTCATGTTTTAAGCACCTTTCAAATGAAAAGATCGACTCAAAACATGAAAATTCAGCAAAATTGTGGCCGTTCTTCAAGGACTTTAGGCGTGGTAACTTCAGGAAAAAAGCTGTCAGAAATTTTCTGATGCTGCTGTTTCAAAACGTTCAGAACGTTGGCAGATGAGACTTTAGGAATTGCCAAATGATGTGCTCCTTATTTTACAAGTAATGTGTGGTGTGATCAAACACAGCAACTGTTGCTTCCTTCAGATCTTTAGGTTATCTAAGTCTTCCTATCAATGTAAWAACACAAAAGGTTCCAAACCAGAAAGCTTTGAAATCCCTCTTCAGTTTTTTTCAAACTCTACAATTTGAGTTGGTTTTGTGGAGAGGGTGAAAAATGTAAGGTTCAGCATTTCTTGAAACAWGACATATTGATCATCACCTTTCAGAGTTTTAAAATAAAATCTTATTATGTTGGGTAATGAAAGAATTTTTGCCAATTTGGTCAAACCTTTAAAAGACGATATGCGTGATCTCGTGACGTTCTGAGCTCTTACACAACCTGTATGCACCTGTGTGTGTGGGGGGGTGGTATTATGAATCTTCCAGGCACATACAACATATTCTGTAATTCAGTCAAGGAACGATGTTGCCCTCAGTTGTCATGAAAATGGTGTACATATCAAAAAATGGCACGGGCATATTCTAAGATGACAATTCATCAGGCTCAAATTGTGAAAGTGTGGTTCAGGGAGCATGAAGCATCATTTTCACACACAAATTGACACCTTAACCCCATTGAGAATCTTTGGGACATGCTGGAGAAGGCTTTGCACAGTGGTCAGACTCTACCATCATCAATGCGGTGAAAAATTAATTCAACACTGGATGAAAATAAATCTTGTGACATTGCAGAAGCTTATTGAAACAATGACACAGCAAATGCGTGCTGTAATCAGAGCTGAAGGTGGTTCAATGAAATATTAGAGTGTGAGACCTTTTTTTGGTGGCAACGCTTCTTTGGCCAGGCAGTGTATAAAACTGAAAAAAAGTTGAATTTTCACAATAACCCCCCTTTAAATACTTGTCAGTGTGCATGGCAATGCACACTATTGTGATTCGTTTCCCATCCAAGTCACCTCCACTTTGGCACGCTTCTCCTCCTGCATACTTTGTCCT